ATATATGTACATATATACATGTATATGTATATGTATATGTATATATATGTATATGCATATGCATATGCATATGCATATACATATATATATCATTTACATCGATATACATATATATAAGTACACATTTCATATGGCTACAAAACTAACAAAAAATGTAAATCAATGGAAATGTACATCCACAATTTAGCTGGAAAGATATTGACATCTGATTTAAGGGATTGTTGGGCTATATTAAATTAAAGTACTTTCCTTTGATTACTAATGACTTACTAATGATTTACTTTACAAAGTATCCAACTGCTAATTCATATATTTATAAATATAATTATGTATCACAGTCATAATTGTTTCATAATTACCTACATATGTTGTCACTAACATTTTTTCCCCAAACAGGTTTAATGCCATGTGAGAAGCATGCTTACATTATTACACAAGTACAGTATGAATGGAACACAGAGTCATGTACTTAAAACACATACTATTAAGTGGACAATTCTTTTATGACATAATTTACAAATGCAATCACATGTGAACATGCGCGCACACATACATAAACACACCAGAAAAAAATGAAGACACACCATAACTGAGACTTGGACAACCTTTTCAAAATACCCTCAAACATGCTACTTAGGTGATACTATTTATTGGTCCTGATGGTATTACCATATGTAGCAAATCACCACCTATGCACCTTTAACAAAAGAGCAATTCCAGGATACAACAAAAGCATCTGAAATCATCTAGTCTTTGACCCTCCATCAAGGGAAAAGGACAAAAGAATAACACAGTGATGAAGAATAATTACAACAAAGTATAAACTCCCATGGAGTCTGTACTTTAGTAAGATCAACCAACCAATCAATGCTTATATGTTGCATTTCTTCCTCTTGGCAAGGGTGAACAAGAACTAAATCTTATCCTACTGACTGGTCTCATTCCAGACCCCCAAATTACATATCTCTTATTTTTCTGACATACCAAACATCTGCCATGAAAGACAGAATACTGAATACTTGCAACTTTATAGTCATCTTCCAGTGTTATTTGTGCCAATATCCTACACAAGCATGATGAGAACTAAATATCAAATCAATACTTGACATTTCCAACACGATCAATAATTTAGCTTGTGATTATTCTTTGCAATCACTCTGTAACAAGACCATTCTATATAACAAAAAAGTTCACGGCTCTAAAAATGCATGACATTCATATTTGAGTATTAAAACACCTAAATGTAATATACCTGACAGAGAGCAGATAACACGTCTTTCATCTGCCACAAATTCTACTAGGAGTAGTATCACCACTAGTGATACAACTCCTTTTCCTCCTCCAACAACCAAACAAAAAATACATACAGAAACCTGATATATCCCTCACTGACTTCCAATCACAAAAGCAATTGACTTTTCTCTTTCCTCTCACTGCTCTCTTCATCAAGAAAAAAAGGAACCTGTAAGTACGAGCGATCACGAGTGCAGTTAGCACCTGGCGTGAAACACATTGGACGCCAGTCACTGTTACACCAACCCTGATTCTCTCATTCCTCCATTCCTATCTTTGATCTTGTTTCTCCCCTACCTTTTCTCCCCATGCCATTACATCCTTCTCTCTCACCCACCCACCATGTTTTAAGTGACCTTCTTTCTTTCTAATTCTTCCTCTAGTCATTCCGTCTTCTCTTCTTTCTTTACAGTATTGACGTTTTGAACCTTAAGACGCCTTGAGAATTCCTGCTGGTATTGCTCCTTCCACTCCTTCTTGGGAGCAGAGCGTTTCAGCCCTCCATCCCTAAGCACAAGAAAGAGAAATTTTAAATACACTTAAAAAATATGATAAAAGATATACAAATCAAAGACATATACCAAAAATCATCAAACTAAACTTTACATTATTGGAGGAGGAGGAGGAAGGAGGAGGAGAGGAGGAGGAGGAGGAGAGGAGGAGGAGGAGGAGGGGAGGGAGGAGGAGGAGGGGAGGAGGAGCAGGGGAGGAGGAGGAGGAGAGGAGGAGGAGGAGGAGGAGGAGGAGGAGGGAGGAGGAGGAGGAGGAGGAGGAGGAGGAGAGGAGGAAGAGGAAGAGGAGAGAGGAGGAGGAGGGGAGGAGGAGGAAGAGGAGGAGGAGGAGAGGAAAAGGAAGTGAAAGGAGGAGGAGGAGGAGGAGAAGGAGGAGGAGGAGGAGGAGGAGGAGAGGAGGAGCGAGGAGGGAGGAGGAAGGAGGAGGAGGAGGAGGAGGAGGAGGAGGAAACCGGAAAAAGGAGAAAATTGTGAAAAAAGGGAAACCGTGAAAAAGGAGAAAATTGTGAAAAAGGGAAATTGTTGTGAAAAAGGAGGAAACCGTGAAAAGGAGGAAACCGTGAAAAAAGGAGGAAACCGTGAAAAAAGGAGGGAAACCGTGAAAAAGGAGGAAACCGTGAAAAAGGAGGAAACCGTGAAAAAGGAGGAAACCGTGAAAAAGGAGGAAACCGTGAAAAAGGAGGAAACCGTGAAAAAGGAGGAAACCGTGAAAAAGGAGAAAATTGTGAAAAAGGAGAAAAATTGTTGTGAAAAAGGAGGAAACCGTGTGAAAAAGGAGGAAGAGATATAAAAGGAGAATGAAAATGAGAAGCAGGAGCAAGAGCAGGAGTTAGAGAAATGAAGTATGACGGAGAATATAAACTTACCAAACGAGATCAACAAGTCCGCCCTGACGTGCAATTTCTGCTTTCACACGATTGGCAAATTCAATTGAGCTTTCTCCATCCTTTCTTGTCATTGGTGGAAGGTACCAAACATCACATACAATAGCCCAGGACGTCATCATCATGTAGATATAGCTTACCATTGAGTCCCGAGAGGAGTTCCAAAAAGCATCGCCAAACCTCGGATCATACTGTGAACAAAAGACATAAGACCTTGAATGCCTTAAAATCAGATAATAACAATAATTAATCAAGCAATCATTATATAAGAAAACTACTACATAACGTGCTATGTTTTTATCTTTACTGGATTTGGTTCTTCATGCAACTTGAACAAAAATTCAACAAAAAAAGTTTTTTTCATGTGCTTTAAAAGGTTCATGGGAACAGTAAGAAATTATGTTATTAGCAGCTGGCTTTATAAATTGATTGGAATGGACTGCTCAATATGTATGGACAGTAACCTCTGCTATGAAAGATGGTTCGGAGGTTTCTCATAATATCTTAGGAACATTTATAGCAGTTTCCTTATGTCTTTTTTTCCTTTTTGTTCATGCCTCTTGGCTGCTTTTCAGGGATTCAAGGGGAAGGGTTTTTTTAGATTGGGGCATAATGAAAACTTTTAGCTTATATCTATCAGTGATTGGATGTCTGTCTGTAAATTTTGCCACATGGACATATACATATCATTCAGGACAGAACATCAACAGATTCAAAATCAATGACTCCTGAGACCTTTGAAACAAGTCTTTAAACTGGATCCTTACAGTTTAGTTCAGGGGGGAAAAAAAAAAAAAAAAAATGATTCACCAGCTGATAAAAAAAAATTTAAAACCACACCTTAATGGCGACTGGATAGATGATGCCTCCTACTTCAAATG